ACACATATCATTCTAGACTTAATTCAGTACGATATGTCGAATTTCGCGCCAATCGTAAAATATATAGGGGCTTTGGTGCATTATTTACATTAAATCGAGCGAAAATATATATGTGAGCTATACTAAATATACTATATCTAAACCGATTTTCACGAAACTTAGCACATAGCATTCTAGACTTAATTCAATATACTGTGCCAAACTTCGTGGAAATCGAAAGATATATAGGGACTTGGGTGTACCATATACATAAAATCGGACGCAAATAAATATGGGAGCTATATGCAAATCTGACCCAATTTTCAAGAAACTTAACACATACTAACACTTCAATTTACAGCACCTCGAACGCAAGAGGCCCTATAAAGTCGCATTTCGATGTCAATTTAGATTTGTACGTTTATCTGCTGAAATCACGATAAAGCTCGCAAAATGGGATATATAGATTAATGTTTTGTTACAAGAACGATAAAGTTTGGATCAATTTTTGGGTATTTAAAGGTTCAACCTGAGGAGCATTATAGCATCCATATCAAGTTATGATTGATTTTAAATTAATGTATATAAAAAATTCAACCCGGCTGAACTTAAAGTCGTTTTGCTTATTTACAGTTAAAGCACATAAATTTTAGTGGCAGACATCAAAACAAATGAATCAAAACAGATTTTGTTTATGGGGTTACCCAATACACGATTATTTTTTTAATTATAAATATTTTAATTTTTTTTTTTGGAAAATATGCATTTCATTATGTAACTCCTCCTCTACATAACTATTTTAAAATCAATTTTTTCAAAAATATTTATATGAAATTTGTTTATATCTGTTAGTAATTAATACTATTTCAATATTAAATTAAAACGCACAAGATCAAAATAGCTGATCATTGTGTTCTCTCTAAGCAAAGCAAATAAAAAAATGCTAAAAAAACTATAAAATAGAAAAAAAATTGTTTTTATTTATACCCACACCGCCGCTCACCACACAAGGCAACCAGACGGCAAAGGGATAGCATTTGATGGGGAAAATTCTATGAAAACGCATGATGTGATAAAGATGAAACTGTGATGAGCAGCAATGAGAACGAGAGGAGGTATCTATCTCCTCCTAGATCAATTCGTTGTCGTCTGAAAAATGTGAAACGAACAAGAAAGAGTACATTTTTCTCAATTGTATCGTCGTTTGGCAAAAAAAAAAAAAGAAAATACGGTATTTTTCTTTTAGTTAATGTTTGCTTAACAAATAATTAAGATAGTCTTCTGGTAGTATGCCGACAACGATTACGAAATATAGTCGCGTACGCTACGAAACACAAGATTTTTTGAAATTTCAAAATATTTTCGATATGAAAGAAAACTGAAACAAACGACTTTTTTTGTTTTAAATACAGAAAATAAAAATCGAATGATTAATTGTTTTGAAGAAGCTTACTGTGAAGATTTTTTTTAATTAAAAAGAACAATTTCGTTTTTACTTTGTAAAGATCTAAAAAAAGTGTGATTGAATATTTTGTAATGATTTCATAATACAACGACCGATAACGTTTTTTTTTCTTGGCCCGCCTGCCTGTCTGCTGCCAGCATCCCTCCTGGCTTTGCTTGTGTGTGATTTTATTTTCTAAAAAAAATAATTAAAAAAAAACAAACTAAAAATAAATATCTTATAGAGAATACAGAACATTGTGTTTTCACAAAAAAAGGTGCCGTTGTTTCTAAACAACAAAATCGACAGATCTCTTTTTTCCATCTGCAGAGTTTTAGATTGGTTTGTTTTAAAAACAAAACCAAAATTAGCCGTTGTTATACAAGTCAAATGTAAGTGAAATTATGATGTGCACAAATTTCAATACATAATTATAAAACACTTTGCACTCAATGTTTTATAACGCTTTTCGTTGGTTGGTTTGGGTTATCAGCAGTTTTCTGCTCTGTGGCCCAACAGATGTTTTTTGTCGCCACCGCCGCCGGCACCGCCAACACATTGTGTTTTATAAGAAAGATCAGATGCTAAATACTTGCAATCACACATTATCGTTATCAATAGGTGGTTTTGTGTTCAATGTGGCTACCTAACAAAAAAAAAAAAAAAAAAAAAAAAAAAATAAAATAAATTTGGCGTAACTCTAACAAAAAATTGCGTACAATTTTGTTATATTTTTTCTCTCTTGTTACGAAGAAAAAATTGTTGTTGCTTCTAAAAATATCAGTGTCTTATGTTGTTGAAATGTATATTTTTTATGTTGGCGTTTCTATGGCAAAGAATTTGAAATAAAAAAATAAGTAGATTTTTTTTCTCGGTTTTCAAAGACAATCTCCTCATTTAATGGGGTTGGCAGATACAGGAAAGTAATTTTCCTATAGGTAAATTGAATAGCCAAAATGTGTGTGTATTAGATTGGGCCGTAGAGGTTGTTTTTGTGAAATTAAAGAATTGTATTTTTATGTTAAAATTTAAATTCAAGATTAGAGTAGTACTGAATTTTAATAAAAATTGTATGGTAGTAATTATTGGTTTTTAATTAAATTAAAATTTTATATTAAGGCATAACAATACTCAAAATGCTACATATTTGTATGAATTTATAATCGAATCGAAAAAATTTAATTTTTGTATTTTTAGATTCGGGAACAGAGCAATTTTGAAGGGTAAGGGTATAGGGTCCACACATAGGCATGAATTTTTTAAAATTAAACATAGACGTGGCTTTTGTAATTTTTGAATTTTTTAGATTCTGGAACAGAGCAATTTTGAAGGGTCTAGGGTCCAAACATAGGCGTGGCTTTTGTAATTTTTGAATTTTTTAGATTCTGGAACAGAGCAATTTTGAAAGGTCTAGGGTCCAAACATAGGCGTGGCTTTTGTAATTTTTGAATTTTTTAGATTCTGGAACATAGCAATTTTGAAGGGTCTAGGGTCCAAACATAGGCGTGGATTTTTTTCTATACGCCAAACATAGGCATGGATTTTGAATTTTTTTTAATTCTGGAACAGAGCAATTTTGAAGTGTCCACTCGTAGGCTTGGATTTTGAATGTTTTTTAATTCTGGAATAGAGAAATTTTGAAGTGTCCACTCGTAGGCTTGGATTTTGTAATTTTTCAATTTTTTAGATTCTGGAACATAGCGACACTTCATAGACACTTCAAAAGTCTACGCATAGGCGTGAATTTTTTAAAATTAATTTTATAGTGTTAAAACATAGGAGTGCTTTTTTTAAATTGAATTTCTAAATTAATTTAAAAACCAGAATATTGTTCGATTTGGCATTTATTTTTTTGAATGCGGATATTCCGTCCGTTGAGTCGAATTATCTATAGATTAATTTCCAATTATCTGCAATTCCATTAAATGATGCGCGATGTGTGGTATTTTTGTTGAAACCAAATGTCGAGATCACGAGCTCCAATTTCATAATTGTATCCTGCTGTTTCTGGATCAAACGCCAGCTCTTTAGTTTGCTTTTCGTTTCAAATGTGGCAGTAATTCTTGGTTTGCTTCAAACCGTTGTTAATTTTTCTGTGCCAGATCGTTACTTTGCACTTTATTCCAAAACTTAAAAATAATTTAAACTAACATGTTCTACAATTCAGCAACAGAAATTCAGACATCATTAGTAGTTTTGGTTTTGGAGATTGGTGACGATTCATCGGCGTAATAAACCACAATTAACCACAAAAAATTATCAGAAGGAACCGTGAACGTGTTGTCTTAAAAATATAGGTATTACAACCTGATGTTACGACCAGCCGTAATATGCTCAAAGTAACTCAAAATTACACCTTTTTTAAATTCACACAATGTTGCTAGACCCCATTAAATTACTGTATTTTGGTCTAAACGAAGTTCTCTTTAAATTTTATGCTCATTCCCAACCGTTTTTTAATTGTGTTTATTTTCAACGTTCTACTCTAATGTCTATGCGGTATATGTTAAAAATATTCACCACGTCTTCTTCAAATATCTACAAATACCTATGTTGCTGGGTGAAGAACGAACGATTGGTTGGTTCTTTGCTATTTTGTTTTTTTCCGCGACATCGTCGATGAACTATAAAAAAATTTGCTATGCTGTGTAGTTGTTGTTGTTGGTATTTTAATTTGTCCCAAAGCACGTGATCTTTTTTGTTTTGATTTTCAATTTTTTATTTTATTTATTTTTATTTTTTTTATTTTTTTATTGAATTGAAGGTGATTGTTTTCCTCTTGGCTAAAAGCATAACTATATGTATAACCAACCACAAGAATCGAATCTATTGAGGTTTGCTGTGATTCATTCCAAATAAAATGATTTGTTTTTTGTTTTGGATAACATATAGGCTTATTTATTTTGCGGAAGCAAATGAAATTCAAGAAGTAACAATATGAGGAAGTTAAGCAAAATGATTGTCCATTCTTTTAGTATCTATTTCTATTTTTAGAAAGTCACAAATTTTAAATTCTCAAAAATTTTATTATTAGATATGGAGGATATTTATTTTGTTATTTCGTAATATTTCCCACTGTTCTTTCTATATGCTTATATGAGAGAAAGATGAAACATTTTTTATATATCCTAGTGGACCGAATGCTATGTATATTGGGCCCGTGCAAATATTTCATTATGCCGGCAAAACTCCTACTAGATTACGTAATGAAGACCGATAGAAGACTGCGTTTGAAGAGGATTATCCGACTCCTTTTTTTCATTATCTATAGTTTGTCATCCTACGTTTGTGTGAGATTATCATTAAACATTCGACTTTCACATGATTCGGATATTTTTTAAGCAATGCCGATATTTGTTTTTAGCGTCCTTAGAATTATTTAAAATAAATTCCAATTTTAAATTCGAATTGATTGCAGTTTAACCATGCAGGATCACAGTGGTCTAGACAATCGCCTTTCAAAAAATTGTCGGAAAAGATCCATATTCAATTTTTCTCTCCATTTTTTTCAACTCAGTTCCCATCAAATTTCACTGTTACTAATTCCGTCGTTTTTTTCTTTCTCTTCTTTTAGATTCTTCAACATTCAGCGAAAATGGTATCTGGTCGCCCACTTTTATATTTGTCACTGCCTGGTGTAGCATTTATTCTTGGCGTATTCTGGTTTCGGCGTCGGAATAAAAATCGTCTAGATAATGATACGAAAAAGATAGGCAATGGCACAGCGGCGGCGTCGTCAATAACAGGCGATAAAGACTTACAAAAACAGACAGCAGAAGTCCACGAAGATCTAATCACAAAGACCACAACAGCATGTAATAATAATAGTAGTAGCAGTAAACCCACATCCACACCCACAAAATCAATGAACATAAACGGAACAATACCAACAGATGATGAAAATCCGGCAAATCGAATGTTTGGCAAATCGGCACCCATTAAAATTGTACAAAACGGTCGTGGCCCATCACCGGTGAAACAAACGGCGCAACAGCAATTGGATTCGGAAGTTTTAAAAACAAAAATACAAGATGCCGAACACAAGTTATTGCGTTCCATCGAAGAAGATTTTGAAAATCTTTCCTCGCCCGTTGATCTCCCCGATTCCATAAATAATCGCACATCATTCTATTCGCGTAATGTTGATATTAAAAAGGACAAACCGGTTGTTATAATGGCCACGACTACACCCAAAATATCGCCAGAAAATTCATTTTTGGAAAGTAAATATACCAAAGAGTGCGCAGCCGAAGATGAGAATAACAAGGATAACAAGGAAACAGAATCACAAACTGTAAACAAAAAAGACAACACAACGGCTGTTGGTGGCGGCGACAAAATCCTTTCTTCCAACTCCTCTGAAAATGTTCCACAACAAACCAATACTGACGTTAAAAAGAATGCCACCACCACCCCAACTGATACCGAATGCACCGTCGATGACAATTGTGGCACAACAAATGTCACAGATAAACGTAATGTTGATGCTGCCAGTCCTTCCCTCAGCTTATGTAGTGTACAATCCGGTGACTCGGGTAAAGGATCAAGTTTACCCCGGTCCGAGGCGACACGTGCTAAAACTACATATGAATTCTTTTTGCCAGATAGTCTAGTCGGTTACCTGTATGGTCGCCGTCACGCCTTTATCAATCAAATCAAATCGAAGACAAATGCCACAGTAGTTTTACGCAAAAAAATGTATCCCGGGAAATTGCGTGTGTGTGCCGTCGAAGGCACCGATAGTGAAATACAAGCTGCTTTGGCAATGATACGTCAACGTTTGCCGGCCAAGCGTTATCCCAAATTAACAATGCAAAGAATACATTTTGCACTTCCACAATCTGTAGTTCCTCTATCAAATGAAAGTCTGCTTAATCTTCAGGTAATTAGAAGCAAATATATTTTTTGTTTTATTTTAAATATATAATAATTTTATATGCATATATAGAATATAATGGGCTGCTTGATTCGCACTTCCTATCGAACTGTTTTAGGTGTGGTAGCTAAGCTTGGGTTTGGTCATATCTCCAATAAAAGATCAAGAAGAATATTGTCATACAGTCGAAAACGGGCATAACGACGGAAATTGGTTGGTATAGGGTCAGAATATTTTTTTCGGGACTTTTGAATGCCGCCGATAAGTCGTTAATACGATGTGTGTTTTAGCATGACCGACCGCCAGAAGTTAATTCTTAGTTATTTCCTTAATTATGATATTGTGTCATAGTTGTCTTTCTAGAATCCTATTTATGGGTTTTCATTGGGAATCCCTCTCGAAGTTTCTAATTAATTTTCTCATAGGCCGACTTTGGGTCTGGGTCAAAGGGGTGGGGTGTCATGCGACCTCTCGTGCCCAACTGTGTTCTACGGTTTGCAGCCAGGGTCCCGACTGTATTTGACTGTATTTGTATATTGTGTAAAAGCAATAGGGCTGCTACAACAACAACAACTGTAATCAAACGGAGCCTTGTTGATACCTGTCCGCCTCAACAAGTTTATTCAGGCATAGTCGCCGAGTCCTTACCATGGTAAGAGGCTATGTCATGGCCGACCTCCAATCCTCACCAAAATCATCCTCTATGGAGCCGAATTTTCATAACCCCACCCCCACTTTAAAAAAATTAAATAAAGTATGCGATGTTTCGACTGATGCTGGTGAGAGGCTGTCTTGGCACCCTCAGTCTGGAACTCTAAAAGTTCAATGACAATGACAAAGAGATCTCTGACAAGAAGAGAGGGGTTAACGACTGCAACCGATATATCGGACGGGACAGAGACTCTATAACGGACTAGGTGTTCCTTTTAATCAAGAGAAACCTCAAACTCATTCGGAAGTTCTCCAGGAACTATCCGCAACGATATTGCGAGGGACTTTTGGGTGACTGTGAGTGGCCCTAGCACATCTAGGAAGTTTCTCCTACGGCTTTCACAGCTTCCCGACACCATTTAGAAATAAAATACAGTAACGCTCTATTTATCAATTAATCTTCCAGAGATTTTTTTAAGGTTTCAGCTTTACGTTGACTTTACAAAAATTATACAATAACTTACATTCTGTATCTAATCTAATTTTTTAATTTTTTATAAATTTTTTTCAAAATCCTCTAATAATTTCTATAATTCTCTTCTTCTTCTTTACAGTTAAATCTAATTGAAGGTATCAATAATGATGTAGTTGTTAGTGCTATTATTTCGGGTGCCCATATATTTGTACAACAGCCCCTACATCCAACCCATCCATCATTAGTTGTCTTACAAAAATGCCTATACGATAGCTATACAACTGGCGAGGCTCCCCTTTTGCCGGGCATTGAATTAAATGCGGTGTGTGTAATGTCTGTCAATGGCATTTGGTATCGGGTACAAATTGTCAATGGTGACATTGATGATCCAGAACGTTGTGTTGTTAAGTTTTTGGATTTCGGTGGCTATATGAATGTACATTTAAGTGAATTGCGACAAATACGTTCAGATTTTATGACAGTACCATTCCAAGCCACCGAATGTATACTGTCAAATATAGAGCCAATAGGTGAGTAATGGAATTTTTATTTTTTGTTCATGTATTTGTAATACGTGTTTTTTTCATCTTTAGACTCCTCCTGGACACCAGAATCTGCTGATATTCTCTGTAGACTAACCAAAGGCATTGTATTGCAAGCACAAATTGCTGGTTACAATTCACACAATATACCAGAAATCTTCTTGTTTGCATGCTTAGGCCCCAATGTGAGTATTCTGCTCTTTTTTATAGTCCATTATAAAAAGAGTTGATAAATGAAATACTGAAATGCAAAATTTTATTGAAAAGAATTTCTCTGTGATGAAATGAGAATTCGAATTTTGCATAGTGATGTATTGTTAATGAATATCCAAAAACGGATATGTGGATTTCTTATTTTGCGAAATAAAAAAGAAAACGAAATAAGAAATCCGAAATGGACAAAAAAGAAAGGGGTCCTCGTACTAGAAGTCTTTCTGAAGATGAAGATGATAAAAGATGATGAAGAAGAACACAAGTGTGTGAAGACGAAATGTGTGATGATTGGTTGGTTGGTTTGTGCTAGCTTGCATGCTGTAATGTATTTGCAATGTGATGATTGATTTTTTTAAATATCGAAATGTTGAAAATGTTTATCTTCTTCACAGCTTAAAAACATATGTGTTGTGTTGAAGTAAATAATGTTGTATTTTCAAAGATTGTAATAAGAAGAAGAAGCTTTACAAAAACACACCCATGAAAAAATATATTGTGGTGATTACTGATACCTTTACAAATTAATGAAAGGAACTATCGGTTCTAAATAGAGGAGAGTTCGACACAAGGAATTTCATAAAAGAACAACTGAGTTGAAGGAGAATGGCAAGATGATGGAGGATGGAGAATTTTCTATGCCTCTCTCCCCCATGTCTCAAGAGGGATGAAAGATTGACAATTTTCTTTGCCTCTCTCCCCTCTGACTCAAGAAGTGTTTTTCCCTGAAAACTGTTGTGTCTGAATTCCTTCAATAATATTGGCAACAATTGAACTTTAAGCAATGCATTAAAAACAACTATTTTACTATGGCTGGCCACATTTAGTAGAACTTGCAAATTATTTATTAATTTTTTTATTGTTTATACCATAATTTTTTAAATTTGTTTCCTTTTACAGAATGTTATATTTATCAATAAGGAGCTTGTTGCCAGAAATCTTGCAAAATGGGTGGATGACATAAGAGACTGATTATATACCGCTAAGGAAAAGCATATAGAAACAGAGGCTGCCGCCGATAGCAACAATAATAACATTGAATTGGACGTTGTTGTCGCTTACAACAACAACAAGAACAGCAATAAAAACAAAAGACCAGAAACAGATCACAACAACAGAAACTAAAAGTTCTCAAAGAAAAACAAAAATGTTTTAACAACAACAACACAACACAATTTTAACAAGAAAAACAACAACACAATACACTCACACACACATATTCTAATGGTAACTATTACTGCAAACAAAAACAATGCACTTAAGAATTGTAAAAGCCATACAGAAAAACAAAAAAAAGAATACCATTTAAGAAAATATTTATTTTTTATTTTGCTCTGTCACTATCTCCTCTGAGTTACTAAAAAATTAAAAAAAGAAACAAAATTGGAGATAAAAGAGCAATCTAAAAAAAAAAACAGCCCAAACCTAGAGCTACTTAAAAAGAGAGGTTATTGTTAAGAAAACTTAAAACCCATTTAGAGGTATTTGGGCGTCCCAAAGACTTTAGTCTCCCACAACCACATTCACAATTAAACAACAAAAACATTTTATGCTAATATTTCAGCACTTTTTATAAATAAAACAAAGCAACAAAAAACATGTGAATGTTGTTGTCCCAAATAAGCCATCTGTAGTTGTAGCCACATTGCAGAACAACAACAACTAACAACAAAATGTTATATTAATGCAGTCAGAGTCAGTCAGCCGCTCTTTTTTAAACCCTAAATATAACTTAACATCAGAAAAACATAACAAAACAACAACAACAACAAACAAAAAGCTTTTATGTAGGCATCTTTTGTAAATATATATAAACTATAAAATAGGATCTAGTAATTAAATATATACTACATACACACACATACATATACAGCAAACAAAAGCAGCAGCAAGCAGTAGCAAAGGGAGGCAGGAATCAGAAGGAATAATAAACAGCAAACTTCTTCTATAAATGTGTGTTTTGGCACACACATAAACACACCTCTCTTTTGCCTCCCCCATCTATTTATTATCTATTTTTTTGTATTAATTTTGTTCCAGTCTGTTTTTTTCTAAGTTTTAAGTGACAAAAACATAGAAGTTAGTCATTTGTTATTTTATTAATTTTTCCTTCCCCCCTTTATCACCTTAAAAATTCATTTTTACCTTGCAAACAAAATAAATTAACCTCCTCAAATTATGCAAAACAAAAACATCATCCTAAAAAACAACCACCACAAATTTTTATTGTGGTCTGTTGTTGAAAATTCAAAAATAACACAATTCTCTTAACAAATCATGGAAATTAGCTACCATACCTACCTACATACATATGTACATAACATTTATATTCTTTTTTTGTTTATTTTTTTTTTTAATATATATTAAAAGTAAAAAATAATATTGTAATTTCAAAACAAAGTCCCCCGTATTAATGTTATGTGATGAAAAAATAATTATTTTTTAATATTCCTTTAATTGAAATGAGAAGAGAGAGTGAACTGGCAAAGGAGAAGAAAAAAGGTTTTGCAGAGTCATCGATTAGGTTTTTTTTTGAGGGATTTTGAAGAACAAATCATGTTCTAGTTTATGATAAGGTATTAAACGGACAATTACAAACTTTTGTAAGACATCGCATGGAATGGAAGGAACTTCGTAAATGGAAACCAACATTTTCAGGTTTCTATTATAATTTATGTTACCTATATAAACTCGGAATCATTATCGAATCATTCAGATTTAATTCAGATCTTTGCAGATATAATCCATAGCCTTTCTGTTAGTAATTAAAAAAAAAGTATCTGGTCCTATGGCATAAAAAATTAATGTTCGCTAAAGATTGTAAAAGTGGTACATGTTTGAGAACGGAAAGTGTAGACCATTTTTACAGATATAAAATCAGGACGATGAAATTTTATCCCTGTTAAAAAATATTAATTTAAAAATGATGTATGGAAATCGAACATTTTTTCTAAACTTCTGAAGATCCATCTGCAGTTTTTCTCTCTTTCTCTTAGTCTTGGAACTCTTTCAATGTTTTTTTAATATTCATGTATTTCTTTGCTTAGATAATTTGTAATTCAAATTTTTCCTCTTAAAAATTTACAATGTATAATTTCTTATTTAAACCAAAAATTATTTTTTGTTAGTAATTTAAGTCGCCAGTAAAAAAACATGAACCGTGAATAACCACATAACAGTAATATATATTTTTTGTTTTTTGAAATTACAATATCCTTTTTAATTCAAAAGGATTTAAAAATGGCTTTGTTATCATTATTATTATTAAATATCTAATGCTATTTTATTTAATTTCATTATTTTTATTATTTTTTAAATAGAATGAGAATATTTTGTAGGCTTAGTGTTAAACTTTCTAATCGTAATATTAATTAATTATTGTATTTTATTTTCATTATTATTATTATTAATTTTTCATTTTAGTTAAAAAAGAACAACAACAAAACAAGTTATTACAAAATTAACCTGCCGCCGGAGAGTAAGGGGTTGTGCTATTTTATTTTAATTCTCGAGTTTTTTATTTTATTGTATACCTTGTTCTCTAGCCCGACCCTCCTAACAACTGCTATATCATCTATTTTTTCTTCTCACTATTATACTACTATATTGTTAAATCTATTTTTTTTTTTGATTCTATCTCTCATCCATCACAAATCCATTGAACATTGAATGCATCCGTTGTAAAATGAAGTAATAAAATGAAAGAAAGAGTAAAGTTTTATAAAAAACAAAAAAACAAATTTACAAATTATTGTTATTTTTTCTTCAATTATTTGCGGTTCTGTTTTTCCAATTCTATATGGGCATTACATTGTTTTTAAATAAACTTTCACACACAAACAAAACACTTTGTAAAATATTTCTATTTATACAGTAAAGAAACAACACACACCCACATTTGCATATTATATACATACATACAAAAATGCATATATTCTTCGTTTTTTTTTATATACACAACAAATCGACAACCAATACAACTAATATGAAAACAAAAGAAATACAATGAAAGAAATAATAAAATAAATTGCATATATTTTTTGCTATATAAGTTATTTAGAGTTTTACATGAACAAATTATATAATGATTATTATATATATTAAAATAAAAATTATAAAAATAAAACAAATAAATAAAATAAATATTAAAAAAAGCAAACAAACAATAGGCAAACCAATCCCATTTTGAATGAGAAAAAAATTGAAAAACAAACTAAGAAAAATCTTAACGCAGGAATTTAATTGAAAAGATTGAATTGTTATATACTATAATATACAAAAACAAAACAAAAAACTAATAATAATTTAAAGCGATCAACTTTATAAGCAGCATTACTGCAAACCATTGACAAAATGCGCAGTTATATCATTATTTTCTACATAATGATGATGATGACCCGGAAAATTTAAGCAATAGTTTGGAAATATATTAAAAAAATTAAAACAACTGATAATGTGCTAACAACAATTTCAAATAATAATAATAATAAAAAACTGATCCAGAGAAAAAATAAATAAAATTCATTAAAAAATAAAAAAGTGTATTTTTAATTTTTTGATAGGTATATGTAACAGATTGGGTTCAAGCACATGGGGGTCTAAAGTCGATATTTCGATGAGACGCATGTGTGACTGTATTTACCATTATGTCTATGTCTGAGGGTGTAATACCTGAGGTTACGACAACAATTTATAAATTATTTACTTACTTAGCTTGCTTGTTACAGAATGGTTGTTCCATAAGCCGTTGCACAAATCTCCTCCAATTTGAAATACCATGTTCCGAGATGTCTTCTACTTGATCTCTCCAACTAATGCATGGCCTTCCCCTTCTGCCTGAACCATCAGTACTCCCGCTTTTATATGTCTTTTGAGCTGGGATATTATCTTTAACTACCTCGAAGTTCTCAAGTTCCACAGTTAGTCTGTGTCTATTGGACGTTTTGCGCGTTGATACCACCAGCTTGGTCTTCTCGCCATTTACTGCCAGACCCACTTTGACAGACTCCTTCTCAATTTGTTCAAAGGTGGCTGTTACCGCTCGCAATGTTCCACCTATTATATCGGTGTAAGCGAGTAACATGTGTTGTTTTGTGTGTACAGACTGCCATTTCTGTTCACCTTTGTGTCTCGTATGACCATTTCCATCACATCACACGATAAACTGTCACCTTGTCTGAAGCGTCGTTCGGTATTGAAGGGCTCCCATAGGTCCTTTCCGACTTTAACTGCTGACCTTGTGCCACTTAAAGTTATCCTGCATAGCCGTATTAATTTTGCAGGAATGCCGAACGCAGACATGGCTTTAAACACTTCTGAACGATTGGGGCTGTCGAATGCGGCTTTATAGTCGACGAATATATGTGGTATGTGTCGATGTGTTTTTCGTGGGTCTTTTCCAGGATTTGGTGCATAGTGAAAATCAGGTCAATGGTGGATTTGCCGGGTCTGAAGCCGCATTGGTATGGTCCAATAATGTCATTGACCATTGGTTTCAATCGTTCACACAGCACACTGGATAGCACTTTATATGCGATGGGAAGAAGGCTAATTCCTCTAAAGTTGACACATATCGTCTTGTATCCTTTTTTGTGCACGGGACACAGGATGCTGAGGTTCCAATCATTGGGCATTCATTCCTCTAGCCAAATTGTATTAATCAACTGGTGCATTCTCCTGACCAGCATCTCACCACCAGTCTTGAATAGTTCGGCTGGTAACCCATCGGCTCCTGTTGCTTTATTGTTCTTCAGCCGATTGATTGCTTTTATGGCCTCATCTTGGCTAGGTGGTATACACTTTATACCATCATCTCTTATTGGTTCTGGAGTATCTTCTTCACCGCCACTATTTGATACCAGAAGCTGTTCAAAATGCTCCTTCCAGATCCTCAACACCATATCTGTATCTGTCACCAGGTTTCCCTTCTTCATCTCTACAGGAAGATGTGTCTACACCAAAGCCTGTGCCTTTGTGCTTCTATACTATTATTGGGACAAGATGTGCTTTCGTCAAGCAGGTGGGTAAGTTGAGCAGAGCACACCTCTGCTACCTGTTGTGTTTGCCGCTTTGCG